TGTTTCATTTATCTTCAATCTTTTACGCATATCAAGCCATCTATTCACATTGGAGAGATGATCCATTGAAAGTTCGTGTTCTTTGACTCTTCTATGAGCATGGTGCCAATCTGCATAACCTTCACCATCCAATTTTCCTTTCGGAATTCCTGTTCTAAAAAGTTTACAGCAGAAACAAAATATCTTGTCTACTTCTTTCGAATATACAAGTCATTCTCTATCACACTTCTCCATATTTGGTAAAGTTTTTGTATATAATGCTGCAGAAAAGCGTCTACCATTTTGTCCATCTCTGTCGTATGGGCCATAGTGAATACTATGATCTCTTTTTGGACCTTTCTCCACTAAAAGTTTAATCTCTTCAGAATTAAGTCCTTCCCATCTTCTTGGATCAAATATATCAACAACAGTATGCACTACACTAACCATTTGATATATATAGACTCTGAAACTGGACCTTTCTCCACAATTTGATATATATAGACTCTGAAACTGGACCATTAATGGAAAAGTAATTATCACCAGCCTAATAACGTGCAAGAAAGTGGATTCGCCCCAGACAAGAACGTATTCGCCAATACTGCAATCTACTGACGACATGACATATTGAGACTCAGGAATAGTTAGGCTCATTATCCTGAAATACATTCAAATTCGAGACGAAAAGTCGAAATGACTATTTACCTAAAACAATGACGACCCCTTGAGTAACTTCGAAAGAGTGAAACATTAAAGGATGAAAACTTACTATTTGCCATGATAATATAATTCACAAACGTTATATTCGTATCTTGTGATCTATATCCTCGAAATACTAAAACTTACTATGTTAATTACACACTTAAAGCATCTCATTTGATCAATATTGAAAAGATCGAATTCTATATTGTTTTAAAAATAATTAAGAACTTTTTTTTAAACTCATAATTTCCCATCAAACCAAAAAGATGTTTTATGATACCGATCTTCAAAAAAATCACGCATGTGTCTATAGAATCCCAAACATATTAGAATATGACTATGTGTATAATTTGTCATGTTTTAGTAATAAGTAATTTAACTATTGTGTGATGAATATTAGTGATATGACGAATACACTAATATTATAATTTTCGAGCACGAAGCTCTATCATAATTATTGAGAAAGTTGGAAATTCCAAAGTAATTCTGGAATTATCAATAAGAAAATCAGTATTCAAAAATGACTACATATCATATTGATAATACAAACAGTGACAAAATAACAAGTGTTATCCAATGCGTTCATCCAATCATTACAATGTGATAAAAACATATATTATTGTTATACATAAGTGTGATATGCATGTTTACGGTTATAGGCATGCATAAGCCATGTGAAATCAGATTGTTGACATTACGGATCGCTAATGAAAGTTCAAGTTTTGAAACTATAATTACATATTCATCTAAGAAACCTAGAATGATGACTATGGTAATAGTCATTTTCCAAAATACCCTTATGTAACAACATCAAACCAAGAAGCAATTCATTCCAGATTGTACACAATGAAGCGTAATTTGTGAAACCAACATTCGAGACAAACTCTGAGAATGATTCTCAAAGAATTTTCAGAAACGGAAATTTTGTAAATTACCCCACATTCACGAAACGCAACCCATATAAGAATTCCTGAAACTCCTACAACACAAAAGAGCAAGTCTAAAGATATATATTCGACGCAAGTCTCCGTGAGAGAAATCCAAATACGTTACATTTATCATCCACGTATATTCTTTCTCAAAAGAGAAAATGTTATACTCATGACACTCAACAAAAGAAAGAGAAAACAACTTTTCAAAATTTGTGTTTTTAAAAAAAAATATTAAGGAATATTCATGATTTTGTACATCATCATTTTAATTGACTTCACCTAAGGAAATTTCGGGGACGAAATTTCTTTAAGGGGGGAAGAAATGTAACGCCACAAAATATGGCCTAAAATTTATTATAAAACAAAAGTAGTTTTTATCCAATAAGGAATATTTGTACGTTTGACTAAAAATAAATGGATTTTCAAAATAATGACTTTTTGTTAAAAAGTTATATTTATGGATATGTCTCGAAGAGACGAATCCAACGGTACATTTTATAAACCAATCTAATTTGTAGATTTCAAGTTATGTCAATTTTAAATAGTAAAATTTGTAACTTTGACCCATAAAATAAACTAAATTCAAAAGTGATTTCATCAGATTAGAAATCATAATTTTGACATTTGACAATATCATATTTATCGTTTGGATTTAATTCATATATTTTTATCTCATTCATATTATTATATTAAATTATGACTGAGACAGACCCGGACACTGAGAAAAATAAAAGTTCTCAGAAAAATATTTTGATTACGTCAAAATTCTAGTTTTGACAGTCTGATTCCAAAAACACAATCTATTTTCAATTCGGAGCAGTTTGGGCGAAAATGCGCGTACCGTTTGGAGTAAATTGTTCAGTTTTGGCAAAAAGCCAAAACTTAAATTATCAAATCTCTTCCAAATCACGGACCAGCCCTCCTAGCCTCACTTTTGCTCCACTAGCCACTTAAAATCTCTCCCTACATAATATTTCCAAAGTATTATGTTATAATACTCCATCACCACAATTATCTTCATTATCATCATGTCCCACCATCATCACCATCCTCTCATCTCTCCCCTATCCATTCTCTCTCTCTGTCGGCCATCCCTCAAGGAAGAAGAAAGGAGACTCCATCTCCATTGTTGAGCTAAGAAAGAAGAAGGAGAAATAGAAGAAGTATCAAGGTTCCCAAAATCCTGAGCATAAAACAATCAGTCCACTTGTGAGTCAATTCTGAAATTTTCCGTTCATTTTATCAAAATGTTTATTATACCAAAGTTGTAGCCCCGGACGTTACGAATCCAACCCAACAAACGGCTCGCGATTTCGTTAAGTAACGAAGAAGATTATGCCAAAATACCGGGACTGCGCCAGTGGTGGCGAGCTCCTCGGGTTGACATGTTTTTCTTCACCAAAATTCATATTATTTCATCCCAAATACTTACCATAAACTCTATAACAATTATTAGGAACATCCGGAAGGTATCGTAGAGAAAGTTCGGCATTGGAACGTTGAAGTTAGTGAGTTAATCGTCGGAATCATGTTCATCGACATACCTGAAATTCTGGACAGCAACTTTCTATTGACTTCAGGTCCGATTTACGCTACCTTACATATGTTAAAACGAAATACTTTCTATACGAAAGTTGTAGCCTTACATCTTAGGAATCCACAGAATCAAACGGTTTGCAATTCCGTCGAGGAACGATGGAGATATGCCCAAATTACCGCAGGCTGTCCAGTTGTGACGGAAATGACAAAGTTGGCAAATTTCGATGTTGTTTCCACTCCCGCTCATCCGTGAGGTTTCGGCCGATGATTTCCAGGTCTGTACCTTTGCGTTAGACTTGTCGAATCATTCATCACATATGTACATGAACATATATGTTAATCCATATGTTGAAATCATCCCAAAATATATATGTGACACATATATTAGTCATCTTTGTGTTAAGACCAAAATATGCCAAATCCATAAAGTTAATATATATATATACACATAAGTATATATAAACATTTGAGATCAACCCAAAAATGTATATATTAATCAAAGGTGTTTAAAAGACTTAAAGAAGTATTTTGGACACTCAAAATATCAAGAGAAACTTTCACAGACCTAAACGGTCGACGCAAAGGGTCGACCGTCGCGTTAAACTTCGAGACGAACCAGGACTGTCAGCCAAACGGTCGACCGCCGGTGGCTGACGGTCGACTGCCGCCCGCCGAGCCGAGGACCGTCTTTCTCAGTTAGTCAACAACGGTCAACCGCCGGTCAACCACGGTCGACCGTCACGGTGTTCCGAGCCCCGTAACTTATTTTAATGATATTTTTATCAGATTACATCCAAATAAAATAAAGTATATTTATCCAATCATGTTGCTTACAAATTGTTCATATCATGTGATTTATTTCATCATTCATATTGAAACATATCACATCATGTGCATGCGCAAGAGATCAGGCTGAAGTGCGTCTCTTGTAGTTGTGATTGTGCGGGACTTAGCAGTCCGACATCACGGACCGGGCTTAGTGTACATACATGGTACTTAGATTTTCGAGTACCACCCCTATTTCTGCGTGAGTTCGTCGTACCAAATGGGCGAATCTCATAGTTCAAGGCTCGTCCTTGCGACTTAGAATCATACAGCATGAAGTCATCAAGTAAAATCATCATGACTATGTGTGACATCAATTACGCATCATGTTATCATCAAGTACATCAATTACATAGATGTCATGTAATCATCATCAAGAACAAGTATATATGGATTATATGAGTATCATGTAATCATCCTCACAAGCAAATTGATTTATTGTGCCATCATGTAATTATCATTAAATATTTATCATCATGATTCATCAAATTGTCCATATGATGTAATGTGCCATATTATGAATATTATTATTATACTTTTTGTGGACATATATATGTAAATGTATATGTCTATGAATTATTCTACAATTCTAGCGTGGTACCACTCAGCGGTTTCACTGAGCGTGTAGTTTGTATTTTTTCGTTGACTACACGTAGGTAACAAGAAGATAATGATGGAACCTTTCCCGGAGGGCATTGAGTCAGAGGAGATGCAAGGATGGCAGGCAATGTTTGGTCAATAGATTTTAAAATGTGTCATGATTTGATTATTATTGTACTTCCGCATTACTCTGAAAATATTTTTAAATGGGTCGCGATCCAGAGTATGTAAATTTAATATTTATAAGTAATTGTCATTTTCAAATGTCAAGCGAAATTTTTATTTATCTCTCGTTTCACCTTAATTTGTGTAATTCCGAGTTATACGGATTGGGGTGTTACACGGCGACTCAATCGGCGGTGGAGGCGGCGACTCAATCGGCGGTGGCAGTGTGGCACGTCGTCTCTGGTAATCTGGTCTTCGTGAATATTGAATACGATCGGGCAGGCAATTTCTTCTAATCCGTAGTTCCGCTCGACCGCTCCCTTCTTTTTTTTGGTCTAAGACTATTGGGCCTTATATATATATATATATATATATATATATATATATATATATATATATATATATATATATATATATATATATATATATATATATATATATATATATATATATATATATATATATATATATATATATATATATATAACTAAAAAAAAACTTGTGCCCCCAAATTTATTGGGCCCGGCCCGACCGGCCACCTTGTCCCCTATATGGGCCGGCCCTGGCTAGAGGAGACAAGACGCCACACACCCACGTCAGGCCACGTCCCTGGGTGGTGCGAGGTGATTTCCTCTGTCTCCTAGTGGCTTGTCTTCTAGTTAGGACGACGACTTCCTTGTCACGTAGTGTTTTTAGACGGATTGCTCAAATATCTCTAATTATTCTTCGTTGAGTTTGGCCGCTACAGTCCAATTTCTTTTGGATTCTTCCTTACCGACACTTCCGAACCCTAAAAATCATACCGGGTAGATTCCCAAAGAATGAGCTTATTGGAATTGGGGACGAATGATGAAGTAAAGTATTTTGACCGGTAGATTATTCGAAGTGTACCAGGCAACTTTATAGTCAACCGAATACCTTCTTACTGTTGTTTTAGGTTTCCCATCCCAAAAAATCAATCTTGACCGTTCAATTATTTGAAAGCCTCCCTTTGACTGGTTCTGGGTAGAATACACTCATCACCCATATATCTTTCGAAATATTATTTACAGGATTAAACTTTTTTTAGGGAATTCATTGAGTCAAACTTAACTCACTCTTTATTTATTTATTTTTAATACTCATATCATAAAATAGTAGATTGTTACTTCTTGTTTTGTAGAAATTTATATGCAATTTTTTACAATATAAATGTTACTCCCTCCGTCCCCCCTGTATTTGTCCACTTTCATTTTTACACACCATCCAATGCACTTATTTAATCCATTTTATCTTGTAATTTGTATATTAAAAAATTATAAAAATTATATATTAATAATCTATATGTTAAGACAAATCAAACAAGATCACACATGACTATATCTAGGCTTACATATTGAGAGAATTTGATGAGTCAAAGTGCTTAGATGAACAGTTCCAAAAGTCAAATGTGGACAAATACATGGAGACGGAAGGAATATTTTAAAATTTTATACTACAATCAAATAAATTAAAGGAAGAGAGAGTACCTACTATATAATGCTTGAGGCCACCGACAAAATTATTAGATACGGAATTCAGCTTCAAAATTCGATTTGATTTCCTCTTTTATCCGTAACCGTCCATCACATATTTTTCATTCCCACGTGCAGATTTAAATCACTACTAAATTCGGACTTTACTTTATTTCGAATTTTACTCAGTAGAAAATAAATAATTTTTTTTGATGAAAACATTTAATAAAATAAGAGATGACAAAAATATTAATTTTATCTAATGTTTGATGAGAACACAAAACAAGTATGGAGTAAAATTCATCGAGATGTCTAATAATACTTATGTAATTTATTTGGGGACGAAAGAGATATTATTCTCTCTATTTCCAAAATCTTCCTTTTTTATCATTATTATAAACGATATTAAGTTTTATCCACTTTTTAGTAAATTTTTTTTTGTTATTTATTATTGTTGCATTCCCATAACTTTTGATCACATATACTTTTTCATCGTCCATTTAAGAAAATAATTTTTTTCACCAGTGGTTTGTATTCTTTTGATACAATTTTTAAATATATAATTTATATTTTTCATTTTTAAAATAATTTTTAAATAAAATTAATTCAAAATAGATGATATTTTATACGTTTTTTGGTAAATAAACTAAAATAGTGGGGATCGGTACGGCCTACGGGGATACGTTTGTCTAAAATAGACGCCGGTGACTAATAAATTACGTAAAATAAAACCCCTTTGAAAAAGACAACGATACAATCTCATGTTTCCCCACCTTTGATCTTATCATCAAACAAACAAAAAACGTAAAAAAAAAAAAAGAAGAGAAAAAAAAAGAAAAGAAAAACTTAGCCTTTCGAATGGCCGAGATGGTAGGGGTACACCTTTAGTGTACCAAAAAGTGTACCCAAATGTACATCACATGTACGTTTACCATTCATTTTTATGGTTTTTATTTATTTATTATTTTTGAATTTTACATGCAAATTTTTGTGATTATGGAAGAGGGTGTGAGATATTTGGAGTACACCTTTGTACACCCTAGCATTTTCCTTCTGAATTTGATAAAACAACACGTAGTATTGCGAAACTGGATCACTTGATCTGGTCGGTCTTGAGAGTCCAGCTGCCGGTATGTGACATTTCCGTTGGCTTTCTAATGTACATGTTGTTGTTTTGGTGTGAATTTGTTTAGTTAATCAAGGATTACACTAAAATAGGGGAGGAATGTTATATATTTTAGTGTAATTGGAAAAACTATGACCAATGGTATCCTAATAATCATCAACGAAGTTTGGTGGTGCGGAGTGCACGCTTCATTGAGTTTGTTACGATAAAAATCCCGTTACATCGGGGGTTCCAAGGGGGCAGCGCCCCCTTGGCGGGGGTTCGGGGGCAGCGCCCCCCGAGCAGGGTTCAAGGGGCGGCAGCCCCTGCGGGGTCCTAGGGGCAGAGCACCGAATTTTGGAGAACTTCCGCGCAAAGGATCGCGTAACTTGGGAAAGAGACGCGATAGGCGTCTTCTCCCTCTGCTGCAAGTTTATAAATTCCCGCAGGCCTTGGTCGGATTTTAGTTCGGATTTTTTATAGCAATCCTCATATTGCGTTCTTGATACTTTCGAGTTTTATCCGTTTGAATTTTGGAGTGAACAACCAAAATATTCAATCTGAAAGTGTTTACACAACTCTCGATTCATCCAAATATTATCATTAATTTCCCCAACACATGTGACATTCCAACTTACTTAGTAATTAAGTTGTACAATAGGGTTTATTTTGTGCTTATATAATAATGCTGATAGTAGTTGTAAAAATAATAAAAAAACTTATTTATTAGAATTTAAGTGAATAAATATTTTTTGAATAACCTTTAAGTTTACAATATAGACATTTTTTAAAAACCTTGGTTCCCATGACATTGGGAACCAATGTCATTGGATGACCCGGGGGCGCTCCGGTGTCCCGTTCGTAAAATTGACGGTTCCTACCCTCCTAACCCCCCCTAACCCCCCCAACCCCCCCACCCCGGCCCGCCCCAAACAAACCCCCCCCCCACCCCCTTCAATTGCACTCTACCAGTCGATTTTGACTTTGGAGTCAAAATTTGACTCCAAAGTCAAAATCGACTTGTGGAGTGCAATTGAAGGGGGTGGGGGGGTTTGTTCGGGGCGGGCCGGGGTGGGGGGTTTACCGGGGGGGTTAAGGGGGGTAGGAACCGTCAATTTTACGAACGGGACACCGGAGCGCCCCCGGGTCATCCCATGACATTGGTTCCCAATGTCATGGGAACCTTCCCCTTTTTTAAAAGTTATTGTTGCTTTCGTTTAAAATATAACCTAAATTAGAATTTTTTTAAAGCATTGAATACAAAATATAAACGGTTCTGCTAGGGGTACACCACTTTGTGTACCCCAAATGAACACCATATACACCCCCCTCATTCCATAACCAACCCTACCCTCATCTCTCCTCCTCACTCTTTCTTCCTCCTCAGATCCGTGAACTCCCTCCCTCCCTGCCGATGATCGACGCAGCACCAGGCAACATTATTTCCCTTTCTCACTCATTTTCTCTTCCTTCATAGATCTCGCATCTCTCTTCCTCCCCACCGGTCAATTAGCTTCATCTTCGGCACCCCCTGTAGTTGCACGCTGTGGGCTCCCCGCAGCCGCCTAGCACAACGGCGCCATCATCATCATCGCCGTCACCGGAGCAGTAAATTATGACAGAGATGGTGGTGCTGTTTTATTCAGATTACACAAATAGTAAATGTCTGTGTTCAAGAAAATAAGGACATTTAGTGTATGTGTGACTAAATAGTATTAATTGTAATTTTTCTTTTCTTTTTTAAACGTAGAAAAATTTGTGAAATGTTCTTGGTACTGTACTATTTCATAGATTTGAAGGGTGAAATTTTCTTCTAAATTACACAAATAATAAATGTCTGCTTATAAAGAATTACAGATTTTTAGTGTTTGTGTAACTAAACATTGGTAATTATAATTTTTTTTACAATCAAGAGTAATTGTGAAACATTATTTACTATAACATTATTTGGTATATTTGAAATATGTAATTTTTAATTTAGGTTTTACAGACAATAAGTTTCTGTTTACGATGAATTACAGACACTTGTTGTCTGTGTGACCAAAACATACTCCTTACTTAGTTGAACATATGACAATAAGCCTCTCATTTCAGGCTTCAAAACACCTCGAGCGTCTCATTAAATACATGATACGAAGCAGACAAGCAATTAATATTGAAAACAGACATTCTACGTTTGTGAGTCAAAGTTCACATACATTTACCATTTTTTTCAAAACATGCAAAATTACAATTAAGAACTTATTGTTCATAATACAAGAACAAAAAGTAAAAATTCAGAAAGATAAATACATGATACGAAGCAGGCAAGCAATTAATATTGAAAACAGACATTCTACGTCTGTGAGTAGAAGTTCACATACATTTACCATTTTTTTCAAAACATGCAAAATT